AGGAAAAATCAGGGAATGAGCGTGGTCAACATTTCTAGACACGACCATGGCTAACGCCAATTTTGTTGGATTGACTAACTGGTTCTCTGAGACATGTTCCAAATTAACAGCATCTTATTACGTTCAAGTTTCAAATCCTATAAGTAGCATTAGAATTGCTGCAATCTCAGTTTTCTGAATTTTGATTTCATCAGTGAATTGACTACAAGTGTTTAAATGATGAGGTATTTCAAGCTTTTAGACGATCGTTTTCCATACACGAGAAGATAAAAACAAATGGGCTTTGTGAAAGGTCATTAAATTGAAGGCTGTGTACTTTACTCTCTTAGAGTTAGAGATTGGTTCCAATACTCCCAAAAGCAATATGTGGGCGATTTGATATACTCACTATTTTAAATTCGAACGCGAAGATATGTTCCAGATATGTTTTTATTTTTTCTGAGGTTCGTTGTTATATTTCTATTTACATTTATTTGAGTCGTATCCCATGTATATTCTGAAAACTATAGCGGTTGAATTACCGTTACGCGCAAGCCAAGCGTGCTGCCTGCAATAACTTGGGTAGGCAAAATGAGCGGCTTTGGGGCCGTATTACTCACGTGTAGAAGTCTATCGGGATTCATTCTAAATCCATTAAAGTAGCGCATTAAAAATTGCTTCTATTAAAGGGTTTTTTTTTTTTTTTTTTAAGAAATATAAGTGAAGGCATACTGATCAGCATTCATAGCCTCACAAGTTGCTTACAGAACTTCGTTACGTTCAGTATTCGGGAATGAACCAAGGAGCGCATTGAGATTCCTACCGCCTCGTGTCTGACTTATTTATACCATGATATAATACCATTGAAAACTTGTTCAGTAGGTATTAGAAAAACCGAATGAGAAGAAATAAAAGAAAAACCAAATTCAATATCTTAAAATTACAAAGTATAATTTAGGTTTGTAACAAACGTATCGATAGAATTTTACAAAAATATTTACACTTTACAAAATTACAAAATATCCTACAACACTTAAACCTAATTCTTCAAATAGTTTTTGTAATTGTTCAGCATTCTATTTCGTTGCGTTACTCATTAACATAGGAATCATAGATGATTGTCTCTTTAAATGTATTTATATTTGGTCCTTATCAATTAATCAATTAATAGTGCAATGATAAATCTCATTTGTCAGCCGATTCAATCACTTAATTGGTATTCAGTTCAGAATTTAGGATGGTAACAATATCATCGGTAGCAAACATCAATTACGAAAATTATTGATTTTTCGATTAATTTTCACATTTGCATCTGAGTAAGAAAGAAATTCGGTTGATTAAAAATAACTTGAAGCTTAAGAATCATTGAAGTAGGTACATCACGGGGATAAAATATCTCATGATCTGAATTCATCAAATAACCTTGACCCTTACAGGTGTACGTACAGCCGATAAAGTACAAAGTTGATCGTATATTTTTCTTTACTTTTTCCAACAAAATTTCATCCCTATTTTAACACCATTTACGATGATAAAGGGCAGCACCATTTGAACCAGAAACAAATCCGTGATTGAACTAGACCTGAAAGGAATGCACTGAGAACAATTAAATCCATCATAACAAGAAGACGCACAGCTTCTTTTAGCAGTTTTTGATTGCTTAAGGAACAGAGGAACACATTCTTCACCTACAATTTTCTTCGTGCCAGCAACTGATTCTATTTTTAACAGGGAAACCTTCGACATCAAAAAGGAAGTTTTTAGGCGTCTCTCTCTTGACTGAGAAAATAATTTCTTCAACGCAATGGAGGCTGTTTTCTTGCGATAATGAACTCAATTTTTCTCAATGTATCTGAGTTGTCATAATATAATAACAAAATATTTACACAAATGGCAGTCGATACGTAGTATTTCAATAAGGATATTTCCCCAATATTTTAAACATCTATTTCATTCAATATTTTAAAAAGAATGTTAATAGTGAAATAAAAAGAAAAACTCGCTTCTTGGTTTGCGTCATTTATAAATTAATGTAATTCATGGTTGACAGGAGCACTAATCAGTTCTACTTTGTTGAATTTTGTTTGAGTTTCAATTAAAAATTTAAAACTTTCTCTTAAAACTTTATGCAAACAATTATTAAGATTGAAAAAAAAAGTATGCGGAAGAAATGCAATGTTTTGCTCGAGTTAAGTGTTTCTTGATTTCACGTCCATAAATTAACCTTTCATTCCGAGCATTACATCATGGTGGAAACCAAAAAGCTACAGCTACACCGACCAAAAGTTAGCGATCTTTTTGCTTACTACTGAGAAGAAAAGATATTCAATCTAGGTTCATGTGACGCTTAACATTAAAACACAAACATCGATGAGAAAATGGGGAAAAACTCAATAAAATATTGAGTACTTGTCAGGTCAAAAATCGTCCGAATACATCTTACTTTTTCGCGTTTACACATTTATTGATGACTTACTAATTTTAAAGGGAAGACTACTTGCTTCGACTTTTTTTCAATGAGCTCATTGATACTGCTCCGGCATTCTGGCTTAAGGATAGTCTAGTTTTATTGGACGGTCAATCTTTTATTACTTGATTTGACAGCTAGGTAAGCTGGCAAATCTATATTTATACATGAGGAGAGGAGCTTTTATTTACAAAAGTTGACATGAAGTTTGAAGCAGGAATAAAGTAACATTCAGTGAGCCCGGCTTAAAGCAGTAAGAAAATCAAGAGGGATTACGAGTAGTTAGTAAAAGTGTCGATACGCAGGTACATGACTGACTCAGAGGCAAATCTCGCAATTAAACAACACTGGATTTTTTCCACATGAATGTATCATACGCTTTCAGCTGTAGGAGTCTGAAATTGAAAGTCTGTTCTGACAAATATAGATCGTTTTACATACATCCAGGTATACGAAATCCAATGTTGCGAATTCTGATAGTGCCACTGGTTCACCGTAATTGCTGTTGTATTGTGGGAAAACACCTGAATTGAAAAGTGTCTTTCGATACTCACCAAGTTTGATTTTAATAAAGCCTTGCTCTTTGACAATTATTCGTTACTTTCAATAGTTGAAATCATTAAAAAAACTTTGTCAATATTGTTCCTATAACACGAAAAGGAGTAAAAATGACCGGATTGATAGCTATATTATATTCCTGGCGTTATTATTCGATCCATCATCTAGACTTATGATTTCAATACTTTAACTTTTTTTGAAAATCCTTTTATCGTCCTCATCAAACTTCCTGCGTTATTAAAAATTTCAAGAGCTGATATGGAGGAGTAGATCGCACTTTTTATCGTTCAAGCCCCTCGTGTTTAGGGGCCGCTCATGAAATACATAACGCTCTAAGGGGAGATGGGTTTCAGCGTGCGTTACGAGTGCTTTATATGGGATAGAGGGAAGTACAGGGTAGCATTATTGGTGCCTAGCGCCGATATGCCGAGAATTTTAGATGAAACATCGATACATAGTGGCAATTTTGTATACGAAATTCATTACAAAGCGCTAACTTAAGGGGAAGTCGATCAGGTTTTTTATATCGTGATGCAGACCCAGTGCTTCCATTCCCCGGAACTAGTTCCGAATTCTGGAACTTTAGAGATTTTCCTGAATTTTTCTCAAAACTTTTGGAATGCCCGAAATGATCCGGATCCTTTGCATTTTCCGGCACTTTCTCAGAACTTTTGAAAAAATCAAAAAGGAAGCCCGGAACTTTTGACGGTCATCGGGTGGGAGAAACTGGAACAAAAAAGTTCCGAACCCCGGAACTTTTGACGGAAATGGAATGGGAGCACTGTGCAGACCTGTGTTACGCGTGAGTTATACAGGGTACATATCTGGAGGGGGGGGGAGGGTAAAAACTCCGATTAGCTGCGTGACGTATTTCATTACGAGCCCTTAAAGCAGGATATGAGCTAAGCATGTTTTTAAGTTGGACCGGTAAAAGCTGCGTTTTCACTTCCGAGTGATTCCACTTCCCTGAGCTTAGCGACGGCGAACTTGGTGAGTACGAGGGAAAGCACTCCTCAGACATTGAAGAAACGGAGCTGACTGGACTCAAGCAGAGGCCGGAGTGGACCTGCATTTCCGTGAAATCGATCAGTCAGTGTACGGATGGACACTTTTCAATTGGCACAAATTCATGCACGAACGCGGCGCGTTATTGCGTTTACATCAGCGTTGTCGTCCCGCGCTGTAAAATTCGCCTGATTTACATTGATTTCGATAGGAATTTTGGGAGGAAGTGACAACGCTGTTTGCATTCTGCTTGAGGGCGAGCCCAAGTCACAGCCGTGAGCGCATTGTGAGCAGCATCGCCAATGTGACGTCATAGGGAAAATACAAAAGCTGGTGGTGAGGCCGGAGGCGTCCGTCTTGATACGGTCGTGACGTAGAAATGTACATTAGCCAATCAGGCGCAGTCACTGGTCTGCAGCGTGTGCAAACAGAAAAAAATCCTCCGTCACACCTCGGTCCTCATGCAGAACACCAAAGTTTTCGGTCCAGATAACCGAGGATTTCGGTTTTAGGAAACGAGTTCCGGTACAAATAACCGAATTCTTCAAAGAATCGTGCCTATGTAAGTTTACGTAATTCTAAAATGAGACGGGAGATTCGTCATCTTGAATCTTGCCTTTACTTTCAATGCCAAAGTAAAGAAAGATTCTCTTCTAACGCGCTACACAAGTGCGAAAACTTATTTGGCGGCCTGCTCTGCTGTGAAGTCTCAGTATGTTGATTATAAAAAACGGTAATCGAACCGGAGTTTGGTTCCATCACTGGAAAAAACACATTGGATCTAGAGTCTGGAATCTTAAAAACATCGACAAGAAAAAATACTCTTGATTCAATCGGATTTTAGCTTAAATCATGAACCAAGCCACTTAATTTGAGCGGATCTCCTTTTGATTTAAGCAAAAATCTGATTTAATCAAGGGTATTTTTTCTTGTCAATGTTTTTAAGAGTCTGGACTCTAGATCCAATGTGTTTTTTTTTCCAGTGATTACGGAAAACTTCGGTCACCAGGATCGAAAACGTTGGAGTTCCGTCGAACCAAAGTTTCTTTCTCTAGAATGACCCATCTTTGCAACAGATTCCTTTAAACCCGTGTAGAAATACGCATTCCTCGGCTCGCTGCCACCTTTTGTATTTTCTCTATGGAGTGGCGAAGATGCTACAAATGAATCGGATGAGCTGCTCAGGCTCAGAGCAACGCGTCGACAGCATGGATGACGCCATTCGTCGCTGGGATGTTCCTCGTTATCACGTGCGCCGAGTTCACTTTCACTCGTCCTGAAAACAAAAAAAAGAAAAAAAGTCGAAAATATGAGTATGAAACTTTAACTGGGAAAACGCATCTCGCGTGCTGTTATGAAAAAGATGAAAAAGATGAAAAAGTATACCGAAACACGCATATTGTTGAATAAGTTTATTGGCTTGGATGCATTTCAGGCTTAGCCCATCTTCAGCAAGCAGTTAAAACAAAACACAGAAACAAGTTAAATACAGTAATGAATTGTCACAATGCATGATGGAGAGGAATAACGAGAGGCAAAGCGAACTAAAACACTTGGGAACTGGTCAATAAATGAAAAAAATGTTAAAAGATGTTTAAAAAATCAGTGGGAATAGCTGATAGAGTTAGCAGAAAATATAGTAAACAAAATAAAGTACAGAGTGAGTATGCGTGTTTCGGTATATTTTTTCATCTTTTTCATCTTTATGAAACTTTACATGATAAACCATTATCTTCGCCGAATAAAAAAAAAATCTTGGTTACGAGAACCGATAAATTTAACATGCGCGTTTTAAGTAAAAGGACTGAACCAATCTTTTCGGTTGAAAGAGCCTTTCAGTTCGGTGAACCAAAGTTTCGATTTATCAAACCGAGGGAAAACTTCTTGGTTCATACAGAACTTGTTCTATTATTGGTCATAGCAGAGCGAGACAAAATAAAATGCCTTCACTTATCAGGATATGCAATCAGCACATCCTTCAAGCACGAATAGTTGCATTAAGGTGCTATAATTCTCTGTTTTGTGAACACAGACTTCGGTTTGTTGGCTTGAGCACTCATTTCACCGAAGTTCAGCTCTGTCGTCAACGAAGGAGGTCCATACGTGCACGGGTGAGGTTTTATTCTTCGAACCGACCAGCGCCTATTGAATTTATAGATTCGTATTATAACCGAGATTTTTTCCTCCGTGCAGGTGCTGGGCGGATAAAATTTTCGGGTAAGAGGTGGAAGGAGGGCAAAAGTTGCTGAAAGGACGCTAACTTGCTGAGAAGGTGAAGAATTTCAAAAATCTTAAAAATCCTCTAAAACTGATTGTAATAGACTGATTTAGTCGCTGATTCATTCGATATATGTATAGCGACACGGTAATTGAAATCTAATCGGCCCGTTTGCGTTTTGATTAGAATTGCCTCACTTTGAAAGCGAAGTATTTTTTGAATTTTTTGAGATTGAGGATATGCCTTTGTTTACAATTGAGCTAGCTGATATATCGATCTATCGAGTGACGAAATCACTAAATCAGTCCAAGAAAAGTTTAAGCATGGTGCAAGGAAACATCCAAATTATACTATTTCTGTTATGATACATCCACTCGAATCCTCTCCCCCTCTTTCCCCCCTCTTTTCCCCCTCTTTCCCCCCTCTTTCCCCCCTCT